TTTTAATCTGAAATTGCACCTTTTAAAAAAAAAAAATGCAGTTATTTTAAATTATTTTTTAAACAGCGTGCCCCCAAATATTCCTCACTTGTCAGATCGCTGGTGCAGAGAACTAATATTAATATCCTTTATGTAACCCCTCTCTGCCTTCTGTCTTTCCAAAGCCTGCTTTGAGTCACAGTGTTGGCTCTGCGGTGCTGAGCCAACTGTGGTGCCCATGTCACAGCCTTTGGACACTGATTGTAATCAATCAATACTAGAATAAGGCAGAGGGGAGGGGGAGAGACTGGGAGCGTGTCAGCTAGAGAAAGAGAGAGAGAGAGGGAGAGAGGAGTCAGAGGAGCCAGGTAGACAACTGAAGATCAGCCAGCAGGGAAATCTTATGCTTTCTACAGAGAAAACCATCAGAGATCAGCATCCGGCTCACCATGGACTTGAATAGGTAGCCAACATATCACAGAACACTTCCATACTTTGCAAACTCTGAAACTGTTGTATTGCTGCAGAGGGGACAAATAAATTGAGCCTGATACTATTCAATAAAAGCTGACTTTCTGCTAACAATGTGCTATTTGCATGCTGGGGCCAAATAATGCAAAGGCTGCTCTTTGTTGCAGGTGGTTAAAATGTTTCCTTCTATATATCTTTAACACTGTAGGAATTGTACAGATGCTTGGTGTGTATTTTGACTTAAACTGCTGCAGGGTATAAGATTTTATGTCCCTTTTTCTTCTTTTTTTTTTTTTCTTTTCTAGGCTAGCGTTGTATCTGAAAATATCTTACAAATGTAAATTGATGTTTGCATTGTAACACGCTTAACTTATTGCTTATTTGACTCTTTCTGTAGTGGCAATTGTAACTTGCATGTGCAGCTGAGTTGATGTGGTGAGGAATGAGATCTGCAAGGTGTATATGCTGCTTTATGTGTGTACACTTTTTTTTTAATATTGTGTAGGTGGCACAGTCGCTTGCAGGTAGGGTGCAAATTCAACACGTTCCTTAAAAATGTATTTACATTTGCTGATTGTTGTCGGTTTGTGGAAATCTGGTGGTTGCTAGAGGTTACTGAACGCTGTCACTTTGGAAGCAAAGATTGTTTAATTATTATAATTTTTTTTTAATAGCCATTTGGGTTGCGTAATGCCGGTTTACTTGCATGATATTGGTTCATTTTCTTGGATGGGTGAATTGTAGCGTGGAAGGCAAAGTCCCTGCCAAAAAATCTGCAGCTAGTGTTTCCCAGATCCACAATAAAAGTGCCGTACATATGATGTGGCACGTTTTTGCTACTGCATAAATGGCTTCATGGACTTTCCAAAAAATGCTCTGGAATTAATAACAGTTTGATTAAAACCCATGCTGACAATGGCCGAAAGATTTTCATTTCATATTACAGCACCTGGGAACGGGCTTTAAAAATGTAACTATATTTAATTGCACAACGCTTTCTGTTATACCTGATGCACAAAAAAAGTTCCTGTATCCCAATCTGCCTTCTTGTAATCTTTCATGGAACACTGAATATGATGTGATGTTTTCTCTGATTAATAAAATATATATTCCCGTATACAATATTCATAATGACCATTTCTTAACATTTCCCTGTACATTATGTATGTGAAGGAACTAGCAAAAGGCTTTTTAACCTTGAAATGTTTGCTCTTCGGGGAAGTTTGTTCTTGTGAGTAGTTTTGTGTCCTTAAAAAGTCTTTGTCCAAGTACAGTCTTAATATTAGACTTTGCTGCTTGTTATGGATTGCTGTCAGGGTGGTACAAGTATTTTCTTGCTATTAGGAATCTCTTTAATAATGTGTACAAACATGGAAATGTCCATTTTGTAGAGTGCTGCCCTGAAGTATGTGCAATCAGTTGTGGAGTGTCCCAGGATGATTTTTTTTTTTATATTATGGAGGTGCGTGCATCTTATATATTTCAGTAGGCCCAGGAAAAATAGTTAAGATGTAATAAGATGTAGATGTGGAGATGTAATAAGTTAATTACCAAAGTTATATGTCAGTGATATTACCACAGTTATGTGTTTTTTATATGTCAGTACTGACAAAATGGCAATGACACTACCACAGTCAGAGATCCCATGAAACCACCTCTTTACTTTTTGTAGCAGCAACATGTTCTATAAACTCTTTGCGCTCTGTAAATAGCATAACAATTGCCATTGTTTGCTGCTGCAATGGAGCTTAAAATTTAATGTTCCTACATTTGTCAAATCAGACCCAAGTTATCATCTTTTTAAGTAGTAGGCAAGTAATCTACCAGTATGGAAGGAAACTAGTCTGGGTAAAGCAAAAGGGAAAACATGCCAGCTGCACATATACTCGGTGGGATTCAAACCTATGACCCAGTAGGAGTGCTGCAAGCTCCAGTTTATTACTGAGCTAGCAATATTGAAATAATATAGTATATAATAGTCTTGAAAGTAAAGTTGTTTAATACATAAAAGTATTTTGTTAATGCGTGTGCCTTTTAAAGTCATGGTCTTTGTTTGGCCTTTGATGAATGAATTTGGAGAACCCTAATGTGTGTGCATAAAATATATAATATATTATAATGTAAATGGGTAAGCCCTATTAGTCCAGTAGACTTGGGTTAATCAGTACTAAATACCAGAGACCAAAAGTTTTATTTACTTAATGTATTTATGAGTTGTTGATACAGTATGCAGTTCTTAAACTATGTAGAAGCATTCTCTCTCCAGTCCCTGTTCCCCGAAGGCACTTATGATCTAATGTCCCTTTCACCCTCACTAGGCCAATTTATGGGTGACGTCAACCTACTAGTATGGATTGTGGAAGGAAATCAGAGCACCTGGAGGGAACCCACACTAGCACAGGGAGAATGATCACTCTTCATGCAGATCATGTCCTTGGTGGGATTTATGGAGTAGATTCCTTTTGCACACCATACTGGAATCAATAATATGGTTAAAAGGGTATTGCAATGACTCCCGAGTGGTCACGGTGTATAACATGGATAAGATATGTCATCAGCAAGCCGACAAGTTTGTTTCAGAGTGCAAAGCTCTTCTTTACTACATGATCACATAGAAAAACTATGTTTTGGGACCCTTCATCAGGCATGTGAAGAAATAACATCCCGTGTCTAATGAAGGGTCCTGAAACTTTAGTTTTTCCTATGTGATCATGTAATAAAGAAGAAGTTTGCACTTTGAGACACGCTTGTCGGAGTGCTGATGACATTTTTTCTTCTTGGTGGGATAAAACTCAAGACTGGGCTGCAAAGCAAGCACTTGGCTTATGTTACGGGTGAAATCTGAACTTTACTGCTGGTTTTTTTTCACCTTTATTTCACCTTTCTGTATTGGAATATGTTCCTAATTTTTTTCCCCAGCTATTATTCTTTTTTGGTTAATGCTTTCTATACATGACAGCTTGTTCCTTTTCTCGTGTCTCTTTAGCAGCTGTCTTTTAGGTTTGTGAGCATGTTTTCACACAAACATCTCCATTTTCTGATAGGTTATGTTTTTTTTTTTCCCTCTGCTGTATTTACTTCACATGATGGCATAATTATGCAATTTCACACCACAGCAAGAAACTTTGGGTTTGGAAATTTAGCATAGCTCTAGGCGAGGTTACACGGGAAGGCAGGTGTTGGCTTATGTAAAACAACAATTGGGATGCAAATTAAGAAGACAGCTGCAGATGGGTTAAAGTTTTTTTTCTTCTATGTTTCGTAAAACCTTGCATCATTTTCTACCTGTAAACAAAAATGTTTCAGGGAAGGTGAAGATTTGTTGGAAAAAGTTTTTAGGGAAAGCAGTTTTTTTTTTTTTTCCTTGTTTCAATGCTGATTAAGCAGCTTGAAAGCCAGGTAAAAACCTGGTGGTAAGCAGTCTGAAAGGATATATACATCCTCAATGGTTTTTGCATATAACTACTCCTAGCAAGCAGTAAATTATATTTCAAAAAGTTACGAAAAAGGTTTAAACTTACCTGTGTCTCCACCGCGCGCTCCCATCCAAAGATCTGAAAAATCTCGGGCGACTGCAAAGAATCATGGGGCGAGCGCATACGCGTTACAGATCTTCAGCTGGGAGACGAGGAGGGATACAAGATAAGTCAATGGAGGCAGCGCGCACCCGCACAGACTCCGTGGGACAGGAAGTGCCAGGTAGAGATAGCAGTCAGTGCTGGATTGGAGACCGGCACCCGCGCTGGAGGGACAGCTGAAAACTACTGGAAAGAAGATAATCGGATCAAGAGGCATCATTTTAGGTAAGTCCTTATACTAGCATGGGGGGGGGGGGATATTCTTTACTGTCACTTTAATAAGCAGTCTTGCATGATGTAATATAGAATAGACCAACACTGGTTCAAATCTAGCACAACATAGCCAAAAGCTCTTTGAATTAAAGGGTCATTCCACTACAAACGGATATTTTAGTTTCTTGGTAGATGCTTAAGAGTTAAAACACCTGATAGTTTATTTTTATTTCTCGAGGACTTTGTTGGTGAGATCTCTGGTCTGCATACTTGGTGTGGCCATTATGAGGGGTTCCCTCTCTTTGTTGAACTGTTTAGTTCCAAACTTGTGGGCTGGGGGGCGCATGAGGCTCTTTGCCTCAGGGGTCCTTAGGTTGTGTTGTCCTCAGGGGCTTTTGGTGGTTTCTCAAGCCAGTGCAGTAAAACATTCCTGAGAATGGTTTCTACTACTTGAACAGTTTGGTTTATTTCTTTCACACTACCTTACTTTTTCTGTGCTGTCTTTTATGTTCTTTCATAATGGATCTTGCTGGGATAAATGTCACATTTTTAAGAGGGTGTTAAGAGAGCACAAATGTTGAAGCATTGATTTGTAAATGAGATGTAATAACAGTGATTTCTAGTAGTGTTGCTGTAGGATGTTTCCGCTCCCTCGACCACCTCCTGTAGGATGTTTCCGCTCCCTCGACCACCTCCTGTAGGATGTTTCCGCTCCCTCGACCACCTCCTGTAGGATGTTTCCGCTCCCTCGACCACCTCCTGTAGCTCTCATTGGATCGTCCTGCTGACTTCCATGTCATTATTGTGTCAGGTAATGGAAGTCAGCAGGAGGTTGACACCATTGGGAATGTAATTGAAGCCCTCAAGGAGCTTACAGTCTAAGGTCCCTATCGCACACGCATCATAGAGGGTCAATTTTAGACGGGAGTCAGTTAACCTTTTCTAGCATGTCTAGCATGTCTTTTGAGTCAGGGAGAACATGTCTTTTGAGTCAGGGAGAACATGGAACCTCCATACAGATAGTGTCCAGAGCAGGGAACCCAGTACTCCAATGCAGAAGCGATAACTACTAAGCCACTGTGCTGCCCCAGATATCAGGTTCCCTGCAGACTTCAAATTTTTTAGGCTGCCATTTGGCAGCAGAAAAGCTGATTAATTTTGTCTTCTTTTTACAGGTACATGGAGGACTTTAGTATAGAGA